TATGCACTACTATTCATGGCATAACCAATGAAAATGCAATTAATAGTCTTAGGACCTATCTTAGTCTTTTTAGGACTATGAATAGCCACTTTAGCCAAACACCCCCACACTTTTAAGTATTTGTAGGATGGTACTCTCCCATGTCACAATTCATAAGGTGTTTGATTCACTTTCTTTCGGGGTACTTTATTTTGAATATAATTAGCAGAAAGTATGGCTTCCCCCTACAAGTTCTAAGGTAATCCAGGACTTATTAACATGGCATTCATCATTTCTTTTAAAGTTTTATTTTTCCTTTCAGCATTTCCATTTTGCTGAGGTGAGTAAGGAGCGGCGGTTTGATGAATTATTCCACGTTCTTTACAAAACTCACCAAAAGGTGATTCATATTCACCACCTCTATCACTTCTAAGTTTTTTAATTTTCTTACCAAATTGATTTTGAACTTCATTCTTATATTGAATGAAAGTTTCCAAAGCTTTATCCTTGGTTCGAATTAAATAAACATAACTATACCTAGTATAGTCATCTATGAAAGTGATAAAATATTTTTTCCTACCTTTAGTTTGAATTGTTTTAAAATCACAAATGTCACTCTGAATTAATTCAAGTGGCTCCGTACTTCGTTCAATTGAATGAAAAGGAGTTTTAGTTAATTTTGCCTCAACGCAAATTTCACATTTATGATTTAAATTAATGTCAAATTTAGGTAAACATTCCATATTAATTAATTTGTGCAAAGATCCATAATTAACATATCCTAGTCTACCATGCCATAAATTTGAAGACTCAAGCAAGTAAGAAGAAGATGTATTATTATTAATAATAGAGGGGACAACAATCATTACATTTAGTTTGAAAAGGCCATCAGACATGTAACCTTTTTCCTACATACATCCCATTCTTAGTAAGTATAAATTTATCACTCTCAAACACTAGCGTAAACCCATTTTTACTCAACAAAGATCCGGAGACTAGATTCTTGCGAATGTTTGGTACATGCAACACATTGTTGAGAGTGAGTTCTTTTCCAGATGTCATCTTTAGAATAATCTTTCCTTGTCCTTCAACTTTACAAGTCAATGAGTTTCCTATAAAAAGTTGTTCACTATTGTCCACCACAGAATAAGATGTGAACAACTCTTTGTCGGCATAGATGTGATGAGTAGCACCAGTGTCCACCCACCATTCTTTACAATTTCCAACAAGGTTTGCCTCAGAAACAATTGCAAGCAGATTTAAGTCCTCAACACCATTAGAAATTTTGTCCACTTCGGTCATATTGGCTTGAGCAGGCTTCTTGCTGGATCTTCTTTTGCCTTTGCATTTGCTATGACAATCTTTGGCCCGATGTCCCTCTTTGTGACAGATGTAACATCTGCCATTGAATTTGTACTTTTTAGTTTCCCCTCCTTTAGAGCCTTGTGCGGAACTTTCTCTAGAAAATTTCATTTCTTTGTTTTTGGAGCATGTTTCACCACATTTACCTTAGACTCCATGGGATGCTTACCAGCCCGCTTCTCAGACTTGCGGTTGTCCTCTTCAATCCTCAAACGCATAATCAGCTCTTCCAAAGTCATTTATTTGCACTTGTGTTTGAGATAGTTCTTGAATTCCTTACAGCCTTGTGGTAATTTTTCAATTAGGGTAGCAGCTTGGAAGGATTCACTGAGAAACATGCCTTCTGCATGGATGTCATGCAGAATAAGTTAGAGATCTTAAACTTGGCTGATCACAGTCTAATAATCAACCATCACAAAGTTTAGAAATTTGCCAACCACAAATTTCTTTGAGCCAACATCTTCTGTTTTGTATTTTTTCTCCAAAGACTCCCAATGTTCCTTTGCCATCTTTATAGGACTGTAGACGTTGTATGATGTTGTCGAGTCCATTCAAGATGTAGTTCCGGCAAAGTAAATCAGCATGTTTCAAGGCATCGACCGCAACAACCACTTGCCAGGCAGTTTTATCCTCATTCAAAGTAAGAGCATCCTCACAGAGAAGCTGTGCCAGGTTGACACTAGTAAGATAGAACATCATTTTCTACTGCCATCTTTTAAAATCAGTTCTTAAGAACTTCTCTAGCTTTTTATAGTGATTGACTAGCACAGTCACAACAAAATAGGGGATTGGAGCCATTGCAGCCACCATACCAGTATTAGTTTGAGCATTAGTTTCAATAGCCATGGATTCTAAATTATAAAACAAAATTATAATTATAATTTTATATTATATAGAAAATTAAACCAAAACCACAGAATTAAATTCTCTAAAAATAAATTATGTTTCAATATTTTATTTAAACGAATTAATTCCACACAACAAATTAAATTTCTGTAACACTTCAAAAATTAAAAATATTGAAACATAATTTAATTAATGAAAACTCAGAAATTATTTATGAAAATCAAAATTAATTTCTGACCAACTTCATAAATAAATATTTTGAATTGTTAATGACTACCAGTATATTACTGCTAGTTGTCAAATAAAATAAATAGTATATTACTACTATTTTGAAACAGTATATTACTACTATTTGTTTTTCTAACTGTATTATTATTCTAATCAAAATATTATTTTGTAAACGCATAGAAAATTAATTTTTGTACGAAGAAGAAAAGAAAACAAACGAAAAATTCTATTTAAACAGAATAATTTGAATCTATCTTAAGATTATTGAAACAATCTTCTATGTAACATAAATAACTTGAAACAAATCAAACAAATAAAAGTAAATTACTTACAGAATTAATTTTACCAAAATGAATAAGTACAAAAATAGATCAAGTCGAGTGTGTGACACTCTGTCCTTAAGACAGATTCGCCCCGCTTTCGTGCTTACGGATAAAAGGCGTCTATCTCCCAGGATACAATGATCTTTACACAGATTGTAGTAACACTCCAAATAATCTGTACAGGAAACAAAACCTGTGTTCTATACTCTCAGAAATTTTTCTAAAATAAGATGTAGAATATATATGCAAGACAGCACAAAGGAAGGCAAGAAAAAATGAATTTCGAAATGAAACAATTGCTAGAACAAATCTGATATTTATAGAGCCGAACAGATACGATTTTGAACTGAATAGGTGCAAAATCAATCTGGACAGATATAGTTCAAATTTGAATAGGTATGAAATAGATTTGAATCTGTCTGGGAATAGATTGAAACTATCCGGAACTAGAACTATTTGAACCTGCTGGAAATTGGACCGGAGAAGGGCTTTGTTAAAAAAATTGGCTCAAAATTTAAATTAATTTTGTTCAAAAAATTTGATTTTCCCGCAAGAATTTTTGAAAAAAATTAAAATAAATTTTGTTTAAAAAATTAATATTAGAACCAACTCACACCCGGCATGGCACGGGTCGATCAACCGAACGACGTCGCACGCGTGTGGTGGTTTGAGCTAAAGGTCATTTTGTCCATAACTCCTCTTCTACAAACTTGGGGCCCAATCCAAGTGTTGCCAAGTTTCAATGTGGAACAAGTCTTACAAGGAAACCCACATTTTACACTTTAATTGTCCATTCCATGAACTCGAAAACGATGTCAACTTCGCATTCACTCAAAAATAGTTTTGACGAACTGTCTTCACTGTGTGACTTGCCATGCAGAAGGAACACGTCACCTCTTTGGACCCATTCCAAAAGCCGTTTGGAACCCACTCAAATTTGACCCAAAATAAGCCTATAAAACCATAAATTCCAACAGGTGGGTCACATAATCTTATTTGTGTCATCATCAAATATGAAAATTTGGGTGTCCCTACAACAACAAAAGCCTCATGTTGTGAGAGGGAGAGTGAAAAGGTTTGTGACACCTAAATGAAATATAGATACATTTCATTTACTTTTTCCTTTCCATTTCAAAATCGTTATTCAAATTTATAATTCAAACATAATCCAAAGTCACAATCCACTCACCAGGAATGAGACTCAAGCTGATTATTTTAAAGGGGAAATTATCTATGAGTGGAAGTATCAGAAAAGTTTTACAAGATCCTAAAAAAGTTCTACTTTAATTATTAATGTGTATAAAATTTACCATTAATCTATATTTAAAAAAAAAAAACCTTACACCAGATTGAAAATTTTCCAATTTTAAATGCATAAAATGCTATGGGAACAAAAAAAAGACATTAATAGAGACGAAACGTCTGTGTATGAAATGGCGTCAAATTTTGAATGAGTTCCAACGTTTAGGTGGTCAATTTTTGCAATTTTGCCGTGAAAATATTTGTTTCATATGTAACCTAATGTAGACAAATCCAAATTTGCTTATTATTATTATTTTTTCAATATATATATTTTTCCCTTCTAGTTTCTATATTTGAGCTTAACTTGAATCTTTCTGATTTCGGTACCCTTTTTTTTTCTTTTTTTAATTTTTTTAATCTTATTTGAATTTAGCTAATTAGTCTTCGATTTGGGTTTCCTTTCCTTTTTGCTTTAGGTTTTCTCAATCTCAACTATAAATTGACATATACGAGGCAAATCAGTTGACTTTGGAGAATTAATAATATGTGAAAGAAAGTATTTCTTTTTATCAAATTTGTGATTATTGTTTGTGTTTGAGTGTTCATCTCATTACCTTTTCCTGCATCAAAAAATTATTTAGTACTCTTGAACAAGTGTTTCATTTCATTTAATAATTTGGACATTTCATGTTATCTTCTAAATTATAAATACAAAAGTAATGGGTCCTATATTTAAACCAATAATCATCAATCTGGAGTACCACCTAAACTTGCTCCAAAATCACCGAATAATTTATCAGTAAGGAATTCGCACCCCTTATTACTGTCATGTGACTTTTCATTTTTTTTTTAAAGGTAATTATTATTCAATAATCTTGGAACATAATGTGGAATCACTTATGTGGTACTCCAAATGTAATTAAAAAATTTATAACTGGACATATAACTCAACTTTTTTAAGTAGTTAAGAAACAAAAGATAAATAGTATCAGATGATACTCTGAACATTTAACAAATTTTTTTATTATTTATTTTTTTAACTTCATTATATAACTTTTCTTGTTCCGTTTTCTTTGTCCCTGTCAATAGCTCATTTAATGAGAGAGAGACTTGTCAAATTTGGACAAACAGTAGAGTTGTCGAAAACAACTTGATCAGCAACCCCATTCCCCAGTTCAAAAAAAAGCACTACCCCATTCCCACATGACAATGCTGCCATGTTAGAATCAGTGGGTGATTAAAATCACAAAAAATTAAAAGCTAACTTTGCATACCCACAAAGAAGAAAAAAGAAATGGCGTTTCTGCTTTCAATGATGGGTTTTTGGCTGTGGAGTGGGATATGTCTCATAGTCAGTACCACCACCGCAAATACCATTGTTGGGAATGAGACTGATCGCCTTGCACTGCTCGCCTTCAAGACAATGATAACACAAGACCCTCATGGGATTGTGAACTCATGGAACAATTCTTACCATTTCTGTGAGTGGAAAGGTGTTAGATGCGGTCACCGGCACAAGAGAGTCACCATTATAGACTTACAATCCAGAGATCTAGTTGGTTCCTTGTCTCCTCACATTGGGAATCTCAGCTTCCTTCACGTGTTGAGGCTCAATAACAACACTTTTCAGGGTGAAATCCCTGCTGAAATTGGAAATTTGTTCAGGCTTCAAAATCTGAACCTAAGCATAAACAATTTTGAAGGAGAAATTCCAGCCAACCTTTCCCGCTGCTCAAACCTCACATTCCTTGGTGTAGGTTCCAACAATCTAGTTGGAAAATTCCCCAAAGAGCTTACTTCATTGTCAAAGCTTATATACCTTGGAATTCACTTGAACAATTTGACAGGAGGTATTCCTCCGTTCATTGGGAATCTTACTTCTCTTGTAAGAATTACTGCGGCTTATAATCCTTTTGGTGGAAGTATTCCAGATACCTTGGGACAATTGAAAAATCTAAATTTCCTTGGATTGGGTGTCACTCAACTCTCTGGTATGATCCCTTCTTCCATTTACAACCTCTCCTTACTAACTGCTTTTTCTGTCCCTTATAACCAACTTCATGGTAGTCTACCACCGGGCTTTGGTTCCATGTTCCCCCATCTTCAAATCCTCCAGCTATATGGTAACCAATTTACTGGACCTCTTCCACTTTCAATATCCAATTCTTTAGAACTAGTAAGTTTTGATGTGGGAGAAAACAACTTCAATGGGAAAATAACAAATGATTTTGGAAGCCTACAGAATCTCGAGGAGATAACTATATCAAGCAACCATTTCGGAAGCGGGGAACCTGATGAACTAGCCTTTCTTGGTTCTTTGGTCAATTGTAGCAATTTGAAAAAGTTGAGTATGGAGAACAATCAATTCAGAGGGGTATTACCAGATTCTGTGGGCAATTTATCAAACCATCTCTTTTTTTTAAGGCTTGACGGAAACCAAATATATGGAACTATTCCTTCAACAATAGGTAATCTTGTCAACTTGGCTTTGTTAGGTATGTACAGCAACCAATTCACTGGCGAAATTCCCCCTAGCATTGGTAATCTTCAGAAGTTGCAAAGGTTGAGTTTTGATAATAACAAGCTCTCAGGAAAAATTCCAAATTCCATTGGAAACTTGTCATTGTTGACTGAACTTTACTTGGCGGGCAACAGAATTGAGGGGACCATACCCTCAAGTCTTGGTAACTGCCGAAATTTGTTGTTGCTGCATTTATTTCAAAATAACCTCAGTGGCACCATTCCTGGAGAACTCTTGAGAATCTCATCTTTATCAATTTCATTAAATCTAGCTCAGAACCGTTTGTTTGGTTCCTTGCCTGCTGAGGTTGGAAACCTCAAAAATTTAATGGAATTGGATATTTCTGAGAATGGTTTGTCTGGTGAAATTCCTAGCAGTCTTGGTAGTTGTACTAGCCTTGAAAACCTATACTTGCAGGAAAATTTCTTCCAAGGATCTATTCCTCTTTCATTAGAAACTTTGAGAGGGATTGCAAACTTTGATCTTTCTCATAACAACTTGTCTGGCAAAATTCCAGCATTCTTAGAAAAATTTTCCCTACAAAAACTCAATTTGTCATTCAATGATTTTGAGGGTGAGGTACCAATGAAAGGAGTTTTCACAAATGCGAGTGCAATATCAATTATTGGAAATTATAGACTTTGTGGTGGTATTTCTGAATTACAACTACCCAACTGCATCACCCAAAAATCAAAGCATAAGATGCCTCTTTCACATATATTACCAATTACAGTAGCTTCTGTACTTGTAGGAGGAGCCCTAGTGTCTCTCTGTATAATTTATTTCTTCAAGAAGAAAAGAACAACTCATAATACAATTCCTTTTTTGAAAGGATTGTTCTTGAAAATTTCTTATGAAAAACTCTTCAAAGCAACAGATGGTTTCTCTTCCGCGAATCTGATTGGTTTCGGTAGTTTTGGCTATGTATATAAAGGGATTCTTGATCAAGATGGGGAGTTTGTCGCTGCTGTCAAAGTACTTAACCTTCAAAACCATGGAGCTGCAAAGAGTTTCATGGCAGAGTGCGAAACTTTGAGAAATATTCGACACCGAAACCTGGTCGGGATCATAACTTCTTGTTCTAGTGTTGATTTTCAAGGAAATGAGTTTAAAGCTCTAGTTTATGAGTTCATGCCTAATGGGAGTCTAGAGGGATGGCTGCATTCAACTCCAGAAACTAATAATGGGCAAAATGAGCACCGGAGACTCAACCTTCTAGAAAGAATAAACATTGCCATAGATGTGGCTTGTGCACTTGATTATCTTCATCACCAATGCCATACATCGATCATTCATTGTGATTTGAAGCCGAGTAATATCCTTCTTGATCATGACATGGTTGCCTGTGTTGGAGATTTTGGCCTGGCTAGATTTTGCCCAGAGCTTACCATTCCTAATCAAAGTAGTTCAATTGGAATAAGGGGATCCATTGGATATGTACCTCCAGGTAACAAATTCTCTTTACCCTTCTTTTACTTTGACATATGCCTATTCTAGGATGGAAATTTAAAGTTTCAAACAAAATACAAGTTAGCTATCATTCAAGGAATGTTAAATGGGTACTGATCTATCCATTTCTCAAGATGGGAGTTTTGCATGGTTACCTTGAGACCTAGTCTGGAGCTAGTCAACTGTTAGTCATCGAATTAATACACGGCTATGCTTTCCAATGCTAAAACTGTTAGTCATAGAATCAAATCTGGTACATTCTCATATACCAGATTTGATTGTTCCTTTTTTTCTTTTATAATATTTTTGTTTTTAGGCAAAACAAATCATTAGGGGTTTTCAATGTGAATTGTTTTAATGGCAGAGTATGGTCTTGGAAGTGAGATATCAACTTATGGAGATGTCTACAGTTATGGGATCCTATTATTGGAGATAATAACAGGGAAGAGACCCACTGATAGCATGTTTGAGGAAGGCCTTAATCTTCATAGCTTTGCTAGGATGGCCCTTCCTGACCATGTGATGGAGATTGTAGACCCAGTGCTCCTAGACAATGACGAAGAAGCGGCAGGAGCAACAGCAGCAGCTACTGCTGTTGGTGCCAGTACTTGGGAATCAATTCAAGAGAACAATGGTGATAGAATGGGGGAATGTCTAATTTCCATAGTCAAGATTGGAGTGGCATGCTCGATAGAGTCACCACAAGGTCGAATGAGCTTAAGTAATATCCTCCATGAACTTCATTTGATCAAGAAGAAATTCCTTCAAGATGAACTTTCAACAATGTACAGAGTTGATCAGTTCTTGCTCAATATTTTTAACTTCTTTCTTCTATAGAATTGCACCTATTGTTTCTGTTGCCTTGGCATTGATCCTCCATGATTTGTCCTTGTTAACAGGAAGCCGCAAAGATAATTGGACATCGGTGGGAGCAAGCGTGGCATGTTTTCTATTGTGAGATTTCAAATTAGTTTGTCATTTTCCAGTCAAATAGAATTCATGACTATTAACCAGAGTAGTATGATAGTGACATTTTTTAAAATATCTAATCCATTTTGATTGAATTTTTTCTTTAAGTTAATAAAATCAACACTTGTCATGTCCTTTTGTAGTAAATTAGTAACATTTTTTTTCTTTGTATAGTATTACTCTAAAAATATTGGCAACCATGCCCTTCTGTGGGTATTCTAAAATACTCAATTTGATTAATGGTGATTTAAATAATCAATAATGCTACTATGTGCTTAAACTGAATGAATTATGTTAGCACCAGGAAACAATCTAGATTAAAGCTTGTTATACCATTCTATATTAATTTTCTATATAATTTTTGTTTGAATAGCATTACTCTAAAAATATTGGCCACCATGCCCTTTTGTGGGTATTCTAAAAGATTCAATGTGATTAATTTATGTGTTTGAACTGCATGAATTATGTTAACCCCCTGAACCAATCTAGAATGAGTCTATATTTATGCCCTTGACATCTCATTTTTGCTCTTCGGTAATAAATTACAGGACAATGAAGCTTGATGCTTGCCAAAGCTGTGAGAAATGGTAAAAGCTCAGTAAAAAAGGAAGAGGATTATGCTAGTACTTTTAAATTCAAACTGGGAACCTATATGTCACAAGTGTATAAATAATTTGATTATCAGATTATTTTCTATCTAGTCCATGTGAGAATGATAATGTATTGTACTTGCGTGATTCGAGTTTATTTACCTTTTTAATTGTTAGCCAATAATATGACTTTCTTTGTTTCACAAGCAATATATATACATTTGAAAAGAGAAAGTTACTATTGAATCCATGAAAATGAAATGCAGGTGTATTCAAACTGGTGTCAAGGACTCAGGGCCGGCTTTGAGTTTTAAGGGGTCCTAGGCAAACTGTTAAGAGAGGCCCTTCTATTTGTTTCTTGCTTTCAATAAATTTAGCAAGCACTCTCAATTGAGATTGAATAATTTTTTTTACTTTTTGCTTCTTTTTCTTTTTTCCAATCCGAAAATATACTTCCTAGGAGGAATAGCTATATAATAAAAAAAATCCACACAAATTCACAATGACTGATATCTGCAAATAATATGTTTTCATAAATTAGAGCAGAACAAAAATTAGAGATTTCCATTGAAGCACCAAACCAATGGAAAAATAGCAACAAGTATAGAATTAAAATTGATTTATTGCATACCCATATAAGAACATGGACAAAACAACACTAATTAGGGCAACAACCATAATTGTGGCTAATTGAGGGCAACAACTACAACAGTGAAAATCCATTATTAACAGTGCTAAGTAACTTAAACAATTATAGCCCTAACTGATAATTAGGGCCAAACAATTATATCCAGCAATAAATTAAGGATCACAAATTATGGCAAAGAAATTAGAGAAAACAACCGTAGTCTTTCATTATTATAATTTGATAAACAAATACAGAGAATGAAGACAAAGAACTCACAGATTAATTTCGCCGGACCAATACATGGTTAGGGATTTGTGTTGATGGGTAAATCAAAATAGAATTGTAGTTTTTCCTTTTTTTCTTTTATAATATTTTTGTTTTTAGGCAAAACAAATCATTAGGGGTTTTCAATGTGAATTGTTTTAATGGCAGAGTATGGTCTTGGAAGTGAGATATCAACTTATGGAGATGTCTACAGTTATGGGATCCTATTATTGGAGATAGTAACAGGGAAGAGACCCACTGATAGCATGTTTGAGGAAGGCCTTAATCTTCATTGCTTTGCTAGGATGGCCTTTCCTGAGCATGTGATGGAGAATACAGACCCAGTGCTCCTAGACAATAACGAAGAAGAGGTAAGAGCAACAGCAGCAGCAGCAGCTACTGCTGTTGATGCCAGTACATGGGAATCAATTCAAGATAACTATGGAGATAAAATGGGGGAATGTCTAATTTCCATAGTCAAGATTGGAGTGGCATGCTCGATAGAGTCACCACAAGGTCGAATGAGCTTAAGTAATATCCTCCATGAACTTCATTTGATCAAGAAGAAATTCCTTCAAGATGAACTTTCAACAATGTACAGAGTTGATCAGTTCTTGCTCAATATTTTTAACTTCTTTCTTCTATAGAATTGCACCTATTGTTTCTGTTGCCTTGGCATTGATCCTCCATGATTTGTCCTTGTTAACAGGAAGCCGCAAAGATAATTGGACATCGGTGGGAGCAAGCGTGGCATGTTTTCTATTGTGAGATTTCAAATTAGTTTGTCATTTTCCAGTCAAATAGAATTCATGACTATTAACCAGAGTAGTATGATAGTGACATTTTTTAAAATATCTAATCCATTTTGATTGAATTTTTTCTTTAAGTTAATAAAATCAACACTTGTCATGTCCTTTTGTAGTAAATTAGTAACATTTTTTTTCTTTGTATAGTATTACTCTAAAAATATTGGCAACCATGCCCTTCTGTGGGTATTCTAAAATACTCAATTTGATTAATGGTGATTTAAATAATCAATAATGCTACTATGTGCTTAAACTGAATGAATTATGTTAGCACCAGGAACCAATCTAGATTAAAGCTTGTTATACCATTCTATATTAATTTTCTATATAATTTTTGTTTGAATAGCATTACTCTAAAAATATTGGCCACCATGCCCTTTTGTGGGTATTCTAAAAGATTCAATGTGATTAATTTATGTGTTTGAACTGCATGAATTATGTTAACCCCCTGAACCAATCTAGAATGAGTTTATATTTATGCCCTTGACATCTCATTTTTGCTCTTCGGTAATAAATTACAGGACAATGAAGCTTGATGCTTGCCAAAGCTGTGAGAAATGGTAAAAGCTCAGTAAAAAAGGAAGAGGATTATGCTAGTACTTTTAAATTCAAACTGGGAACCTATATGTCACAAGTGTATAAATAATTTGATTATCAGATTATTTTCTATCTAGTCCATGTGAGAATGATAATGTATTGTACTTGCGTGATTCGAGTTTATTTACCTTTTTAATTGTTAGCCAATAATATGGCTTTGTTTCTTTCACAAACTATATATATATATATTTGAAAAGCGGAAGTTACTATTGAATCCATGAAAATGAAATGCAAGTGTATTTGGACTGGTGTTAAGGTCCTAGATGAACTCTTAAGAGGGGCCCTTCTATTTGCTTTTTGCTATCAAGAAATTTCGCAAGTACTCCTGATTGGATAAAATTTTGTACTTTTTACTTCTTTTTTTCTTTTTTCAGATTCGGAAATATACTTCCTATGATGAATGGCTATATAATAAAAAATCCACACAAATTCACAATGTCTAATATTGCAAATGATATGTTTTCATAAATTAGAGCACAACAAAGACTAGAGATTTTCATTGAAGCACCAAACCAATGAAAAATAACATCAAACATAGAACTAAGAATTGATTTATTGCATATACACATTCAAGCATAAATAAATTGAATTCAAGGAGAGAACAACACAACACCAATTAGGGCAATAAGTATAATTACGGGTAACTGAGGCAACAACTACAACAGTGAAAAGCCATAATTAATAGTACTAAGCCATAATTAACGGTGCTAAGTAGCTTAAACAATTACATCCCCAACTGATAATTAGGGCCAAATAATTATATCCTCTAATAAATTAAGGCTAAAAAATTATGACAAAGAAATTAGAGAAAACAACTATAGTCTTCCAATATTAAAATTTGATAAACAAATAAAGCCTTCGTTTGAAATGTGAGTTGACTTTTTAACTATTTTAGTTTGGGGCTAAAAAGTCTCGTTTGGATAGATTTTTTAGCTTTTTTTTACTTTTGTGATAAAAAAAATGAAATGATTATGATTTGAATGTGTCATTTTGTCTTATTGACTTTTTAACATATTTTGCCTTTTTATGGCTAAAATAACTCCAAACCAACATGCCAAACATATTTGGGAGTGAAGAAGAAGAACTCACAAATTGATTTCGTTGGACCAATATAGGGATTTGTGTTCAAGGGTAAATCAAAAAAAAATTGTACTTCAAAAAAAAAAAAAAAAAAAACATTTACATACAAATCTCATTTTGTGAACTTATACTTCATTAAATTTCAGATAAGATTTTTTTGGGAAACTACTATTAGCACCTACCTCTTTACTTTGGACCCCCCACTCTTTTATTTTATTTTTTTAAATTCTAATTTTGTCCAAACATGAAGTTCCAATTTTATCCTCATTTCTAACTTTTAACCCTAATTTCTCAAACCCTAACCCTAATTCTCCATCACCTTTGGCCGCCACCCACCCTCGCCCCCAATGAACTTGCTTCTCTTGCCTCAGACTGGGTCTCTCTCTCTGTTTGTTCTAATGTCTCTGAGAGCTTTGCAGGTTCGTTTCTCACTTAACCCATAATCGAAGATCATCAAAATCACACTCTTGATTCGATTACGACAATTGATCAAACCGATGGCATACATGGATACCGTAACCCTGACCCTAGACCTAGGATTTTCAAACTCAAAGCACAGATACAGAGAGAGAAGCAAATTCAAGATCTAGGGTTTTTATAACCCAAATCGTGACGTCATCAGCTGTTTGTCGGTAGCGGCGATTGCAAAAGTGATAAGGGCATTGCAGTGAGGGTTTGCACAGGGTAGGGAGATGGAGGGAAGATAGAAAGTGGTAGGGGAAAGGCGAAAGGATTTGGAGACCCACCACTGCTGAGGATGAACTAGGCTAGAGTTATGGTTCACGATGGGATCAAGCAGAAGAAGAAGAGACGGAGATGGAGAAGGGGTTTCGGAAGGGAGTGGCGACGAAGCTGACGTAGCTAATGCAAAAGCCGGCTTGGGAAAAGATGATCATGGAGTCGACGACTAGGCGACCGAGGGGATCACAGACGGTGAAGCCAAGGTCATCGAAGGAGAGATTTTTCTCGTCCTCTTCTCTATTGCAATTGATATATATATATATATATATAGAGAGAGAGAGAGAGAGACAGAGAGAGAGAGAGAGAGAAGATAAAAGAGATGATGATGATGATAGGTTTTAGGGTTTGCAATGGAGGTGGGGTTTGCAATGGGGAGGTTGCCGGAAAGAGGTCACTTCCAACGATGAAAGGCTACTGGCGATAGCAAAAGGTTATCAGAAGATGAATTGGGGGTTCAAAGAAGAACAGTATAGTTGGGATTAAGGCAGGGCTTCAAAGAGAAAATGAGTGAGACTCAATTAAAGTGGCCACTTAACAAATAATATTTAGAGATCACACAACAAGAATTAAAAATATCTCATTTTTATTGGAAGTGTGATTAAAAAAATTAGAATGAAATTTTAATCACAGTCAATTTAATTGAGATGGTATTTATTTTTAATCACACCTTCTAAATAAGTGTGATTATATATATTTTTGAATCACTGTTTCTAAATAAGTGTGATTGCATATATTTTTGGGTGAAGCACTAATAAATCTCAAAATGTAATCTTATAAACTGTTTAGTCTTTCATTTTTTCTTATGAACCCAAAAGTCCCATCAAAGTGGAAATTACACAAAATGGTAGTCAATTACACATTTGGGTTTAATTTTTAAGGAATAAAAGTTAGTTTCTCCATATATGAAATTACACATTTGGGCAATTTGTACTATAGAGGTTTCGGATTTTTTCTCGTTCTGGAACAAATCCCACATTACGAATAAGAATGTAACACTCTAATGTAACACTTCAATAACGTAACACTCCGATGTAACACATGAAAAAACTCTTTAGTGTACTTTTTTCAAACGTAACAACATGGCACTCTAAACTTTTCCCAAATGTAACATTCCAATGTAACACAAAAAAACTATTTAGTATACTTTTTCTAAACGTAATACTCCAATCAATGTAATCTCAAACGTAACACTCTAATGTAACACATAAAAACACTAAAAAAATTACTTTTAGTGTACTTTTTTCAAACGTAACACTCAGTTTGAAATTACACACTTATCCAAAGCTTACTAAGGAATTTTTGTACTTCTTTTGGAATGGTTTGAAGAATCCTATATCATTTTTTTGGAGTGTTACATTAGAATATTACATTTAAAAAAGTACACTAAGAAATTTTTGTGTGTTACATTGAGGTGTTACACTAAGGAGTTTTATTTTAGTGTTACGTTCGGGAAAAAAAATGAGTTTTTTTTAATGTTACAGATTGAAATTATACATTTGAAAAATCTCATCTCTTTTTGGAATGTTTAAAGAATCTCATATTTCAAACTATTTTTGTACTTCTTTTGAAATGTTTGAAAAATCTTATATTTCAAGTCATTCCAAATAAAAAAGATTCTCATATAAAAATTCATCCAAAATTTGATTCTTATAGGGTGTGTATTTTACATTTCTAGCACAAAAGGGGGAACAAAAAAAAAAAAAAAACAAAAGAAAAGAAGAAGAAAGAAAACATAATAGAAATAAAGATATGACTGTAAATTCAATTTTTAAATAATATATTAAATCTATATTTTCAAATACATTTCATGCATATATACATATATATATATATATATATATATAATTTTAATTTTGTTCTTATTTTCTATTTTTCTTCCCTTTCTCTCACTACAGCCATATACTTTTTAGACTGCTAGTGTAACAACCCTCGCTTTCCTCTGGTCATGCTTGCATATATTACATGGTCTTGTCTTGACATGTTGCATTTGCAAAACCTTGACTTGTCTTGCATAAGTGTTACTTGCATGCTTTGTTCCTTGTTTGGTGTGTGTGTTTAGCCTAGGTTAATCCAAGTTGAGGTCACCTTAAGCTTAGAACCATCTTAGAACCACTTTGGTTGACCTCCACCTTCACCAAGGCATGTTGGCCAAAATGTCATCATCTAGGCCGAGGTGTTCATCACCATGGCCGAGATGTGTATCATCTAGGCCGAGATGTTACCTCTTTGCCTAAGTGATCTTGTTCTTGGATTGGTGCGACCTAGATTGAGGTGTGGCACATCTAAGCCGAGGTGTGGCATAGCTAGGTCAAGTGTTGTCCTTCCTAACTGAGATCATTGTACTTGTTGAAGCTTTGTCCTTAGCCGAGATTGTTACTTGCCGGAGTACCCTTGCCATCTTGCTTGTTGAACACACTTTGTCATAGTCTTGTCTTTTCACTCAGTCACCTTTTTGAGTAGAGCCAACTAGCCGATGCCATGTGTCCGAGCAGAGGGTTAAGTCAGTAAGCTATTGAGAAATACATCATTTTGTATCATATCCTTGTCTTTAGAGAAAGAGGCTCTAGGAAGAAGAGGGAGGAGTTCTTAGAGAGGGAATAGATTTCCAAGCTTGATCTTCACACCTTGAGCCGTTAGATTCGTGTCTTGAGGTTAGAATCTTGATCTACTCTTGTTGTTTTTATTGTTCATCTAACTGCATTGCATGATCGAGCACAATTTGTAAGCCATGCATTGATTTAAAGTTTGGTTTTAGAAAGAGAAAGTGGTATTCATGTGTTCTTGAAGAAAAAACCTTATTTGATCTGAAAGTTTGCATTAAGATTCATGTTTTTGTGTTTGTTTTTATAAAATCTTCGAGTATGGGTGCCCAGGTCCATGTTTTGAATTCATAGCATGAAATCTCAGATTTTGTAATAACAAGTTATGCTTTTTGCATTCATGTTCTTCATGATCATGTTCTTCATGTTCTTCAAAGAAAGGGAAACCCAGATTTTCCTGACTTCGTTTCCTTGAATGTGGCCATCGGGACCACACCTCGGCAAGGAGGTGTGGGACCTCGGCCAAGATCTAGTTGGTGCCCATTATGTTTTCCCGAGATGAGGAACAGCGTTTTGTTTTGGTTCGACTTAGGAATGCCGAAATCATTTGCATTCATGTAAAGCTTGTTTGATAGTGCATTCAATGGGATTCATTATGTGCTTGTAGGCCTTGGATCCCTGCTTGTAACCCCGACGTTTGAAGAACTATGTGAGTGGTATTTTTAATAAAGTTATATTATAACGTTTTGATAAAGCTTTGCTTTGCCTTGTTTTGGAAAAGTATTTGTTAAGCATGAATGACTATCCCTATTTTGTGTATCAAGTAATAGCTTTGGTTTTGATAACATTCTTGAAAGTCCGTATGTGCTAGGGGACTATAAGCATTTGTAGCACAACCTTTGAAAG